GCCACTCGTCAAAGTTGGGGGTATAGGGTCATTGTGTTCAAAGAACCTAGACCACCTCCAATGATCACTATACGTAAAAAAATTGGCATTAGAAGTCGCTAGTTTTTTCTTTCTGTAGTTCTAGTCACATGCTGCACTGCACGTGAGTTCCAGTGCATGGTGTGGTCGAAAAACATTTAGTGGGGTTTGTTCAAGTACAGAACAAGTGCATAATATAGGGAAAAAACTTTTACACATTAGCATAATAGTACATAATGAAAATAGAATGATATAAAGCAGGGCCGGCAAATATTCAAGATGCACACAATGGCAACATTCTGTCCTTCGTTAGTGCTGGTGAGTGCCAACCCTCGGCGAACTGCGCATGCGCGAAACTGCTAAATTGATGGGCTGGGCTATTATGCGTTTACCCCGCTATCTAGTAGCTCGCGGAGAGTCTGACACGGGCTAGCAACAGTAGTAGATAGCGTGCGGGAGTCGATACATGCCATTGGTTGTGACTTCCTGAGCCCCCAAGGTACACAGAGCGAGCGGATCAGGTCGCAGTGCGATTATGCTATTGGCTTTTCCGCTTGTTAACCCTCGGCGCGCATGCGCAGCGAGGGTTACAGTAGTCTGTCCATGCTCCAACTCACTTCTCGATGGCATATTCGTCCCACAAACGATACGACGTAATAAACGGGTAATAAGTCAATCGAACGGTTTTCTCTGAAAATGCTCCGTTGCAGAGATCTTAGCGTTACCAGCGTACGTCGGCCATTTTTTACTCGCGGAAAACGAGCATGCGCATTCTACGTGGCCGTCCAGAAGAGAAAGACGTTCGTGTGTGCCGTGAGTTGCGGCTATCGTGCCTCCAAAACTTTTGTGCGATTTTCTCTGAAACTGCTCCGTTGCAAAGCTAGAGCGCGAAAAAGCCAATATGCAAATACACAACGGACGGGACGGCTTACCGCGGTCTGATCCGATCCGCGTGCCTCGGAGGCACCAGAAGATGCAACGCAGGGCGTGTATCGCCTCTTGCATGCTGTCTAGTTAGCCCGCGTCAGACTCTGCGGGAGACCACGAGTAACAGCTAACAACAGCTGATCAATTAGTGGTACTGCGCATGCGTTTACTTACGCGTGACCTTCACAATGCGCCGAGGGTTTGCACTTCAGTGCTTTTCATTTTCACGGCATATATCTCGAACGCAGTCGTTTCAGGAAAATCCGCCTTTTTAGTTTTCAGGCATCCAGCTACAGCAACCCTTGCCTACAAGCATTCACATCAGCGGAGGCCTTAATGAATTTACATACCAATTATTTTGCTGTAGGGTGCACTTTATCTGCTATTGTCTATCCTTTGCAAAATAAAACTTCACAAACAAATGTGTCTGGGAGGTACTTCTGTCTTCTCCTGAAGAGTTGTGAGGCTCTTGTTACCTAAAGGAACTGACTCGTTGACTGGGAGTTATCCCTAATATTTTCTCAGTTTTCCTGAGTCTACAGAGATCTCAGAACATTTATATACGAGTTCAGCATGGCTCTCATTTGCTTGGTCGCTGTATGTGTTCAGTTCAGCTATTGTTTTTATGTCATGTCCAGGTTGGTTGGAATGCACATTAAATGTACTCTACCTTAATAAATTAATTTTAATGAGCTTGTAAAAAAATGTATAAATTTCATAGAACATTGAAGCGGTAATGTAGCTGTGAATCACGTTCTTGGTCTATATACACCCATGAAATAATACATTAAGAGAAAAGTGTAGCTTATACTACAAAGGTCATTACGTATAAGATTTGTTCAGCATGGATTATATACTCCACCATCTTCAACAGCTTGTATAGGCTTGGAAAAAACACTCTGCATTAGAGTTATGAAAGTGTAAAACAATAATAATTTTGTTGTGTGAAGCAACATACCGTTACTCCCAGAACAACAGCATCGTCCATTATCCACTCCGGCACTTCTCCACTGATATCAACAAGCTCTGGAAGATTACATGCTAAGATGAATAATGTTAACATGAAGTACAATCACTCACTGAACTCCAGTACAGTAGTGAGCGATTGTTTGTGACCGTCTTTGTCTACTCCTCCAAACACCAAAACACTTGCCGTCTTTTCCGCACAGGAAACGCATGACATACTTGGTCGCCATCGATGCAGGTATGTTTCATGATCTCGAATCTGTATTAAAACATTATTGCACAATGTACTAAGCCTATATAGCTGACACAGAAAAAATATGCCTTAATCCATATGCCAAGATCAACACTCAGTAGCCACAGATCTCCAAGAGCCTGTATGTTCTCATCAAGACCTCCAGTCATCAGCAACTGGGGAAACTCCTGGTCATAGTTGAGAACACACGCCGCATGACTGGACCGTTTCTTGGGCCACAGACCATACTTTCTCATCTTCTTAAAGTTCTGGAAAAAAAGAAACATTTTTTTCTGTGCAATTTTATTGCAATCACTGCAGTCAAAACTTTATGAAGTGTTGTCAATTACCACATTTATTCCATCCAAAGTCATTATATATACGTCATTTACTCTCCCCGTCTTAGTATATCCTCCAAACATCACAGCTCTCCTGGTGTCCACCAGTGTCAGGGTGTAGTAGGAACACGGTGGAGGCCTATCTCCACTGACCTTCCCAGATATCCAATAGGGAACAGCAACTGTGCAAGGCAGAGCGATACTGTTGACACATGTTCAGGAAATGTCCAGGTTACTTTCTACTGTTTGCACAAAAGTCAAACTTATTCATACATCAAGTATTATAGCTAAAATGCGAAATGCATGTGTCAACAACAAGCTCTGAAGGGAAAGACAAAACCAACAAGACTACTAGCTATACAATCTTTTTTTTGCTGCACTGGGTAGGATTTTAACCCACCACACTCTGCAGCCTAGGAAAGCACTGTACCAGCTGAGCTACCAGGGCAAACTCAAATCAGCAACATGTACATAGAAGACCAACGACTGGGCTATAGCCACATTATGCTATTATCATGCACTATAATTATAAGGATGCGCAGATAGCCTTTGCTAAACTACTGCTGACACTAGCTACCCACTGCCCCATTCCTGTGATCAGTAAACCAACCATTCTTTATGCTATATAAATGAAACTCATTTGTGTTTCCCCTGTCATACAATCCTTCGTCATAGTCGAAACATGAGTCAGGCTGAAGGGGACCATTAGGTGTCCCATAACCGCCAAAAAGACACAATTTGTCGTCAATGATGACAGGTTCGCATCCGGCCTTCCGTATCGGTGTTTCAGCCGTGTTAACGCTGGGAGGGAAAGCAATCCATTCCATTCTCTCCGTGTCAAACTTGTGTAGAGTGTTGTATCTCCCGAAGCCCGTGTCTGCGCGCCCACCGAATGAGTAGATGAATTTTTCTCTAGAAACAAATCCGCCCGTTCTAACTCCAGGTGGCTTTTCGTTGCCACTCTTACTAATATCATGATCGGCCTCCCATTGCTTTGCTGAATGGTCAAATATTCTAAGCACACCAGCTATACGATTTCTCTCGTATACTTCTTCAAATTTGTCCGTCTCTCCGCCCAGAAGATACGATTTGCCTCCGACTGGAGCAAGGATATGATTGAATCGGGCAGACGGCTCTCCCTCGGACTCTCCCATTATGTTAGGGCTAGAATTGAAGTGGACACCGCCCCAAAGCTGTAGCCCCTACTGTAGTATTCATGGCGGTAGTATCCGCGCTAGAGCTGCGCATCAGCTCAATATTAAAGGAGGGGTGGGCACCAGTAACCCTCGGCGCGCATGCCCAGCGAGGGGTTGTCTGTCTGTCCGCACCTTCACGAGCCATGAATCGCTCCACAAACAATATTACGAATTCAGGTAGTCGAAACATATGTGGAGCTTTCTCCGAAACTGCTGCGTTCGAGAGTTACGGCGTGAAAACCAAGTGAACGAGCCATGCAAATTATAGCACGGGCTTACCTCGAGATGCACGCTTTCTAGCACCGAGATGCGCTTGCTCTGCGTAACTTGGAGGCACCAGAGGTTGCAATGCGGGGCGTGTATCGACTCTCGCATGTTATCTAGTAGTGTAGCTAGACCGTTATTACTGACTCTCAGCGACCTGGGTAGGAGACCACGGAAAAATGGCCCACCCCTTCAATTACCAGTACAACACATGCGCGTACTTCCTCGCGCGCGTTTTGCAATCTGTTCGCGCATGCGCAATATATTCTAATCTCGTACCAAGCCTACTGCTGAGCTAAATCATGGCAGATGCACAGTGAAAGATGTACCTCACTGACTTCTTCATGCCCGTTGACCTAAAATTGGATAGGTTCTTTTTGTATGTATTGTGGACTTTACGCATACGCATTATAACTGAAAAGCAACCGAGCCACTCCTACAACCACTTACCAACGAATCTTTCCCTCACCGCACAGCGAACACTGATGCCAACGCTCGCCTAGATATCCGTGCTCGTGGTTTTTGGAACACTGGCCAAGACGCATTTTTTGATGTTAGGGTTTTCCACCCCAACGCGTCAAGCAACCGTTCGATGACCACTGCAGCAGCATATCGCAAACACGAAACAGCAAAGAAGAGAGAATATGCCCAAAGAGTTCGAGAAGTTGAACATGGGGTTTTTACACCACTTGACCTCTCAACTACTGGTGGTATGGCACGACATTCTACAAAAGACTGGCTGATGAGTTGTCCCGGAAGCAGGACAAGCAATACTCTCTAGTCATGGGTTGGATTCGCTGCCGCCTATCATTCGCTATACTCCGATCTGCTATCCTCTGCATTCGAGGAAGTAGATCCTCTCGCCACCGCCCAGTCAGTGAGCTCAACATTGAACTTGCCGCTGCAGAGGGACATGTTCCCTCTGATATGTAGTGTTTTTGTTTTGTTTTGTTTTTTTTAGTTTTTTTTTGTTTGTTTTTTCTTTTTTTCTTTTTTTTTCTTTCTAGTAAACGTTAAAAAAAAAAAACTTAAAAAAAAAAAGTGCAAACCCTCGGCGAACTGCGCACGCGCGGTACCACTAATTGATGTGCTGGGCTTTTAGTATGCATTTACTCGTGGTATCCCCGCTAGTAGCTCGCGGAGAGTCTGACACGGACAAGCTACAGTAGTAGATAGCATGTTTTTTTTAGTTTTTTTTTGTTTGTTTGTTTTTTCTTTTTTTCTTTTTTTTTCTTTCTAGTAAACGTTAAAAAAAAAAACCTTAAAAAAAAAAGTGCAAACCCTCGGCGAACTGCGCACGCGCGGTACCACTAATTGATGTGCTGGGCTTTTAGTATGCATTTACTCGTGGTATCCCCGCTAGTAGCTCGCGGAGAGTCTGACACGGACAAGCTACAGTAGTAGATAGCATGCGGGAGTCGACACACGCCCTTCGTTGTGACTTCTTATGCCTTCAAGATACACCGATAAAAATGGCCGACTACGCATTAGCCGTATTAATGGTGGAAGCGCTCTAGCTTTGCAACGAAGCATTTTCAGAGAAAACCGCTGTTATTTTCTGACCTTCGTCACCCGTTGGGTAGATGGTATCGTTTCTGGGACGAACAGACGTTCGAGGAGTGAGATGTAGAGTAACAGACAAACAGACAGACCCAATGAAAAGCACTAAAGTGCAAACCCTCGGCGAAGTAGCTCGCAGAGAGTCTGACACGGGCTAGCTACAGTAGTAGATAGCACGCGAGAGTCGATACACGCCATCCGTTGTGACTTCTTGTGCCTTCAAGATAGACAGAGCAAGCGGACCCGCTCGAGGTAAGCCTGTGCTAAATATAAGCGCATGCGCATTATCCGCCAGCGATAAAATGGCGACTACCGGCATTAGCCATACAATGCTGGAAGCGCTCTAGCTTTGCAACGGAGCATTTTCAGAGAAAACTGCCTTTATTTTCTGACCTTCATCTCCCGTTGGGTAGATGGTATCGTTTGTGAGACGAACAGACATTCCAGAAGTGAGATTGAGAGTAACAGACACACAGACAAACCCAACTACAGTACCCTCGCTGCGCATGCGCGCCGAGGGTAACTACAGTACCATCGCTGCGCATGCGCGCCGAGGGTAATTACGAGTCCACTTCAAGTCAACGGGGATGGAGTGTGAAGCATAGCAATCCACCACGTCCCATATAATATAGTGAAGCGTGCGTGCCTGCAATGAGCGGTATGCGCGACGAGGATTCTCGCGGAGCCAAGTCTTCCTTCCTGGGCGGGCATGGAACCCTTCTCTAGCGAGCATGCGCGTCTCCGCCGGGGGTTTGCACTTACGTAAATAACGAATTAAAATATAGGGATGCCATATAAAGCAAGGAGACAAGACAGGGATGACCTAGTGCAGTAGTACAATGGATGATGGTTACATCTTCAAACTGACATTTCTTGCTTGGGTAAATTTTAGTTCACACAAGCTTTATATTGTCGCCACTCTTACTCATGACATGAGTTTTGAATAATGTAAGTGTGAAGACTGGCAAACGAATTCTGTAGAGAAAGCAGCATTGTAAAACCGGTTAGTTGAGTGAACATTGAAGTAAATATACCTGTGAGAGAGGGCATTTGCTGCGTACCAGTGCACCATCGATGGTGGTAGGTAAAGTCGCACAAGACAGAATGTGGACAGACACTTAATAGAGGCACACAAGATAGACATCTACTATCTAGTGAAACATCAGCCAAGGGAAGGGGCTTGGCAGAATCAGCGGGGAAAGAATACCCTGTTGAGGAAAGGAGACAAGTAATAAAAATTCTTCAAATTAAAAAGTGTGGAATATGGATGCCATAAAAAGCAAGGAGACAAAACAGGCATGACCAGGGCACGTGATGTAGAGTACAATGGGATGATTGTTACATCTTTAAACTGCCATTTTTTGCTCATGTAAATTTTACTCCACACAAGCCCTATATTGTCGCAAAGCACGAGTGATCTCTATTGCAGTTATTACTCGTTTCCTACACACGTAAGACATTCAAGAGAATTCTACAACGTGCTAGTTCTGTACTGTACAGCTGGGACCATGCAATGATTGACTGATTTGATTTGAAGCCATACAGGATCAGACTGAATGTGTCAGATATTGGATCTGATTGAAACTGCAAGTGAAACTTAATGTATGGGCATAATGGACAACCTGTGTCATCCATAAATATTAAGTACTACCATACTTAGTGATAACACTATGCAACTGATTCTTTTATGCACATTCCATGCACCAGTAGATGAGAGTAAAATCAACACCCAATGCAAGTATGTGTATTTAGATACTCTAGGAAGAACATGCTCCCCCCATTTCCAACCATCATCTACTGACTCCCTAGAGAACACCATCACTGCACTCTTACTCAGCCTCCATTTTCTAATATATACCAACATTTCAATGGAACAGATTTCTCTATAATACCTTATATCTGTGAGATATCATTTCTACTTTGGTCATAGTAACTCCCTCTTTCTGTGAGGAGTATTATCAGTGTTCATAGCAACAGGACGAGGACCTCTGCCTAATTGTCTCCTAATCTCAGGGTGTTTTTCATCATCTGCCTCTGCCTCTAGACCTTCCAGTTCTGGGACAGACACTTTGATTTTTAAGTGATGAGCAGATTTAACTTGACCTCCACATAGTATATACCCATTCTCCAGGTGTGAATATTTGTTGTGCTATATATTCTTCTGGTATATGGACCACGAATTAAAATGTGAAGTTGCTGGGGAAAGTGTAAGTTGATCATCACAGCTATGAACATGTAAATACTTTCTACTCACTGTGTCATTGTGTCACCACTGTTGCAATGGTTTTTTTGGAAATTTTCTACAGGCTTCTTTGTATAGCTCCAGAAGGCTTGCCATTTACGCGCATGCGCGCTGTGTTGTTAAATGCCGGACGTTGAATTTGCTTACGCACGCAGAAAAACGGAGGCGTGGCCTGTACCCCGTGATCGAGTTTGGCTAGCCAGCGAGATCGACTAACTACTGCTGCACAGCGGCAGTGGAAGCCTGAGTGATGACTTTCGTCTGGAGTAGAGGACGTCAACTACTCATCTTACTCTGGAAGAACTTTCTACTACAGGTCAAATGCCCAGAGGGTTGTTCATTCGCGTATATATTTTGCGAAACGTTGTAGCACTTCTGCAAAGTAGATTCGTCGTGTATATTATACTGAGCCTAAACGGCAACAACTATTTTCAGGTACTTATTTACATCTTCAGGTCCGCAGGCCCATTGGCACAGTAGTGGAACTACTGATACCTCCTGTAGCATGTATGGTGGTCATCACTCTCAGGTCAGTCTCTCTCCTTTCCCTTCCTCCCCTCTACCTATATAATATTGTTTGCACATAGACCACAACCAATGTCAATACTGAAATGAAAACTGAAACTATAGTATTGTCCACTGAATTCATTGGTAGCCCTATGAAGGTCACGTGGGTCTTTCTGCTCTACCATTTCTATTTAGATTTACTCTGTTTGAGGTTGAGAATCGATGTCACCTCACCTTTGACCCTGACCCGCTCACCCTACCAGTCCCTCAGAGTGTCTATCAGATTTACTATGCTCCCAACACCAGTCAGGCTGCCAGTGAGTCCCATGTGTACCATGTGTAGCTGCTACTGGGGGACTATCAGCCAGTGTTGGGGTAATGAATACTGCTGTGACTGTGTTTATTGTGTATGTATATAGGCACAGCAGTATTCAATACCCCAACAGTAGTGTTGCGTTAATGTGTGTGATGACTGAATAGGTAAATGTACTGGTCGAGCCATTCTGCCAATACATTGTTCTGTGTCGGTGCAAATATGGAACATGCATCTCATGCACGGTTTAGATGGACGTACCGTACGTACAATGTTCAAACTAAATTTAAGAGTATCTGTGCCCCTACCTTTTTGTGTGCCTTTGATGTATTATGGCACATGAAGCTAATCAGGAAGTACACATCATGTATGTGTGTTGTTACACAGTGCCCTTCCTTTTGACGTACATACATTCATAGTGTACAAAAACTTCAACACAATTGTCCTCCTCCAGATGAGGTCGCTGCCTTTCTCAGAGATCAAGAGTTCTATTGGAGTGTAAAGGGCGTGGCATCCGAGCAGGAGTTGGTGGATGAGCTCACTACAATTAACCCTCCGGCCCCTCCAATCAGTCTCGATGACGATTGTGGTGGTGGTGGGGGGAATGTCAGTGTGGGCTGCTTTGTGGGAGGAGCAGGTGTGTTGTATCAATGTTTACGCATGTTGCACAGATAAAGAGCGTAAAAACTGTGTATGGTGATGTGAAAGTATAGTATTATAGTAACTGTATGGTGTTGCACACATTTTGTACAACTGCATGCGTGTATTAATATTGCACTATTACTTCCATTCACATCTGACATATATGGCTACTGCATAGGTTTTCATTCCTATCCATTACAGCTTCTGTTTGGATGATGCTGTACAATTATTCCAATCAGTGCATGTTTTTCAGGATGCAGGATTTTTTTAACTTGTAGGTATATACACATTGTTAGAGGGAATGAAAGATCAATAGGGCCAGTGCAAGAATGCAAACAGGTTTCCGTTTTTAATGACACTTTCTAAATTTAGCCCTTAAATACTGCCACGCTCGCTTTAAATACACTTTGTTTAAGTTTAAACGAACTGCTAGTGGGTTTGTGCACCAATTTTACACATCGTATGTACGTAATTGAACCCCAGGAGTGGTGTTTGTTGGTCTGGAGGGGGATTCTCTGGAGTACACTCTGAGACTGAGACACGAGGTGGGGGACAGCGACACCTGGCACACACGAGAGACCTCATTCTGGCTCCAGCGTCCCGGAGCCAGGGTCACCGACAAGTAAGGACCTCTGGCTGGGAATACGTGGGTGTAATTGTGGTGTTGCAAGGCAAAGGCAGAGCGAGCAACACAACTACACCCAGGACAACTCTTTTATTTTATTTTATAAAGAGCTGGGCTTGGGTGACAGTCGTGGCACTAAGCTACCTGGCCTCAGGTTGCTAAGTGTATTTATGTGGGAAATTGACTGTAGTAATATTATGTAGTAAGGAGAGGTTCTAGGCAAGCCAGCACCTTTAAACATTTACTGGCAGTAAAATGTAACGAATGATGTACCATGCAAAAACTCTCTGGCTCTATGCAGGCATTATAGGAACTTTTTGTCAGCCTCTCTCCCTCCCTCCCTCCCTCCCTCTCTCTCTCTCTCTCCCTCCCTCCCTCCCTCCCTCCCTCCCTCTCTCTCTCTCTCCCTCCCTTTCTTTCCTTCCTAGTGCCTACCTGGCAGAAGGATTCCTCCATCTCCAGAACAGAGTGGCCCGGGCACTAGTAGACTGGAGCACCGAGAAGGCCAACATCTCCTCTCCTCCAGTCCAGGTCTCAGTGAAGCAGATCCCCTACCCCTCCTACCACATCGATACCTTCCTCAACTGGAACGCTGCCATCCTCCCACTACTCCTCATCATGGCCTTCATTTACACTGCTGGCATGTTTACCAAGGTACTCTAATATCGTATGCGTGTATAAGTATACAACATGTGGGCTGTATTATGTACGGATGTGAACATGTGTACTAATAATTATTCATTTGCTCTGTTTGGATCATCATAGTATTTGTTTACATAAGTTACTCGCAAGTGTATAAACCTACGTACCTACAATCACGTGTATTATGTCTTTGAGTTTACGTAACAGTTTGGTTTTCTCTGTTTTGTATATGCATGCACATTCACAATTTGACCTGTTGTGTCATTTTTGTGCATGTGTATATACTACAGTGGGAAATACGGTCATCCTCTGGCTGTAGGGAAGCAAATGGTGTCAATGATTGTTTATATGCACTACCTTGTGTTTAATAAAAGAAACTTAGTATACAAGTACACCAACCACCCTTATCTCCTCCCTCCTCCTCCTCCTCCACAGGAACTGGTTCTGGAGAAGGAGACTCGTATCAGGGAGTCAATGTTGATGATGGGACTGAAGCAGTGGGTGCTGTGGACCACCTGGTTCATCAAACAGTTTCTCTTCCTCTTTGTCTCCAGTCTCATTGTCGCCATTCTCCTCAAGGTAGCTAGTGATACGCTCATTTGTCAATCTTGCCCATAAGCGCAAATATTTCAAGTGGGCAAGTCGTGTTTAATCGCAGACACAACGTTTTCTGTTTTTTTTCTCCACACTAACAGCCCAAAACATGTTATCTATATAGTCAATCATTTGTGCTGTATTATACGTACGTACGTGCATTATGAAAGGTCCTAGGTGTTCACTGTGACATAATAATACAAAACTCCCTCTCTCCAAATGTGAATGGCAGTATGGTCAGGTGTTTCCAAAGAGCAATGTGCTCCTCCTCCTCCTCTTCTTCACTCTGTTTGCCACTGCCTCCATCTCCTGGGGATTCTTCATGAGGTCTGTCTTCTCACATTGTGGACTACACTCGATGTACCTCAATTCTGTGTTGTTCAGCCAAGTTTGATGAATCATTCCCTAGAGAGCCTACGTACCTAGTTTGTTTGACTCTACACTGTCACATTCACTCCACAAGTCTACTTTCAATTTCCCCTCTCCCTGTCTTGTTTCTCTGGACTTTTGTGTGGTTGAGCTACGTTTGTCAAACAAATTATTCATTCGCCAAAGAGCCTACCTACATATGTACACTGTCTAAATTACCCGAGTTTATATCTGACACTGCCACACTCCTTGTTACTTCATTTAAGACTACGTTTTGAGAACAATGGAAAATTAATGCCGACCAGCTATTTCGTTACTCAAAACTTAGTCTTTAATGAAGCACCCAACCATCACACTGGACAATGTGCATGTTCAAGCATCACTGGCAGTGGTTTAAAGGTCAAAGCCATTTGGTCGCCAGCTGCATTCATTCTAGTAGTTACATTGCATCTTTTCTTCTTCCTTCTCCCTCTGTCTGTCTGATATCTCCCCCTCCCCTCACATCCTCCTCAGTGTGTGGTTTAGCTCAGCTCGACTGGGAATGGTGGTGTCCTTTGTCGCCTGGTTCTTTCTCTACATCCCCTTCTTCTACTTCCCACAGCATTACCACACCTTCACACTGTGAGTCGGACTACATTAGGCATATCTCAACAACTTGGTAACGAGGTAGAAAGGCAAGGCAAGACAAACAAGTCAACTACACCTCTTTCTTTGAAAAGAAGAAGAGCTGCCCTAGGTAGGATCGAACCCACGACACTCTGCAGTCTAGGCGAGTGCTCTACCAACTGAGCTACCAGGGCAACTCAGGTGGTAGGGGTTCGATTCTACAACACAACACAGTATACTCTCACTCAGTATGTAGGAGCAGACTGGGGTTGTGTGCATAGGTTTGTAGTTACGTATTATGTACGTACATAATATAACATGTACATTATACGTACATCTGTAGTACCTAGTGATAGCATCCTGTTTACATTTTCAGTAGTAATGTAAAACATTAGGGATCACTCACAGTACATGAAAGTGAATGTGAAAGCAGTTTGAATCACAAAAACCAGGCAGAAAATGTTTCATTAAGTTCGTGATAAATTTTGGGTGGGGAGCATTCTCACGGTCAGGTGACACTCTTTGTTTCACCATACGTAGCTTGTTTACATATACAGGTTCATTATGTGTCATTGGAACCACATAACCATCCTACCCCGTAGAGAGTGTGTGCATCATCTGGGTGTTGTAATGTGTTGCAATGCATCACCCGTCCAGGCCAGCCAAACTGGGGCTGTGTGTGCTGACCAACACATGTATGGGCATAGGAGTGACTCTGGTGTCAGAGTGGGAGGCGAGGCAGGAGGGCCTTACCCTGGACACCCTATCCAGACCTCTCACCATTGAGGACGGGTTCCACATGGGCTGGGTACTTGTCATGCTCCTCGCGGACACCGTCTTCTTCCTCTTGGTGGCCTGGTTAGTGAGAAATGTATGGTATTGGTGTGGGGGGTAGTTACGTAATTATTGTACTGCATGTGGCAAGACCTTTGTACAAATACCTGTGAAAAACACAGTGTGTATTTTATCTGAACTGCTGTATGTAGTGTGGGAAAATGTTTTTACTGGCCTAATCCAGGTGTGTGAGTCCTCTCTATTTGTGAGTGTATTCTATGCTCAAAACATTATATTGGTGTACTGTAAATATGTACTGTGTGATTTCAAATTGTAGTACTGTGAATGTGCAGCTAACCTATGTATGCAGGCGTAATACGTT